CCCCCGCCTGTATGCTACCCACCGGATATCCAGCCATCCACCATGATGGCAGGTCGCTAAGGCGCTGAGAACCTCCGGAGGCTCTCGACCCTCGTTCCGGAGGCTCCGGAGGGCCTCCGTGTGCGCCCACATGCGTGTCCGCGGCGGGCGGCGACGTGCCCGGCCATCAACCGCGCCGCGCCGCCGCGTGTGAGTCGCGCCTCCCGTCTCGCGCGTCGTGCTCGCCGTCCCCGACGACGACCCCGCTCCCCGCCCGTCCCTCTGTAGTTATCCCCATGATGTATATATAATCGAAATCGTAAAAAATATGCGCTTCTCAGCGCGCCAAGAGTGTGCCTCGAAGACCCTGCAATCAAGTGGTATGTCAAAAACATAAAACACTTCATAGAAAGCATGGAGGGGCTAGTGACACAGGTCATGTGGCTTACAGGTAAAGATACAGGAGGTGGGCGGCATAATCTTACAGTACCTTAGCTGTCTGGTACGGCTGTACACTGCTACATAGCTGTATAAGCACCTGAGAATTCTAAGATGATCTTCAGGCTTGGGGGTGTAAAGCCAGTGCACTGAGAGGCTCCACATACTACGTGTTACTCAAGGTGCTGTGACTTCAGCGATGTAGATAGGCAGCTTCAAAGTATCTCTGCCCCAGAGGCAGTAGTACATAGCCTACAGATACATAGTAGTTACCACACTTAGAGCCTAGAGTCTAGCCCTTGCTCAGGTGTTCTGAATGTATATATGCGCTAGGATATTCACTCAGGATGCTCAGTATGTGTCCCCTAGGTATAGAGAGAAGTTTGCATAGTATTTGTGGGGAGGTGAGTGAGGGGAGCCGGGGAGAGGTGCACGACGGGCGACCAAGTGCCTATATGCGTCTTGCCGCGGCATGAGCAATCGCGACCTAGACACGTCTGGCTCCTCCGAAGCAACCACCCGTCCATTTGTGTCCAATTTTTTGCAGAAACAGGCGGGCATGCTTTAAGATACGCCATGAATTTTTGCGACGGGAGAAGCTCTCCAGGTAAGCAGTCCGAAAGGGTACACGATGCAACGCACCACATCTGGAAGGTGCTTCGTGCGCGTCGACTCTAGATCCCCTCGCTACGCAATTGCTATACCACTTCTTGATATAGAAATTACATAGACATCCTCGTATGACATACGCGCGTGCGTCTAAGTGGTCAAAGTGGAGGGGACGGCCCATGCGTAGGAGTTACAAGCGGGAAGGTGCTCAGTGATCTCGCCATCAATGTTCCATCAATGAGCCCGAACACGAGGCTCACACCCGCCGCGCGAGGCGTCGCAGCGTCGAGCCCGAGCTCAGTACTCAGTAGTAGTACCAGCCTTTGCCCTGGCCAGTGGCCTATAAGTGACAGCACACGGACTCTACTTTCAGCAGGCTTCAGTATCGTATGCCCTCATTCCTGTAGTGCATCTACCCTTACATGAATATGATGACCACCCTCTCGAACAGGACTACGAACATAGTGATCGTACTGGGCTACAGTGCTTCAATGATATATATATTGTGGGGGATAACTACAGAGGGACGGGCGGGGAGCGAGGTCGTCGTCGGGGACGGCGAGCACGACGCGCGAGACGGGAGGCGCGACTCACACGCGGCGGCGCGGCGCGGTTGATGGCCGGGCACGTCGCCGCCCGCCGCGGACACGCATGTGGGCGCACACGGAGGCCCTCCGGAGCCTCCGGAACGAGGGTCGAGAGCCTCCGGAGGTTCTCAGCGCCTTAGCGACCTCCCATCATGGTGGATGGGTGGATATCTGGTGGATAGAATACAGGCGGGCGTTTGGCTAACTAGCAAGGGATCAACGATCACTGAAACGTTGCTAGTTAGCCAAAAAAGGGGTAACGGACGGGTGTCCCGGACGCGTCCTGGCTTCGCGGTCGCCGTTATTTCTCGCTGTTATGTACTTAGTCGTAGTGGTGAGCTCGAGAAGTTGCTAAGGAACACTTGTAAATTAGGGCTGGCACATGTTAGCGTGGAAGCTTCTTGCGACAGGCAAGCTATTTTCGTAAGTGTGGTGGCCTTGAATCCTGGCAATCTCGAAGACTTCTTGGGGACGCTCTAAATCCGGGTGATAAACCTCCTGCTTGCCGCTATCTCCCGGATCATGGCATAGAGTGTGCGGCTCGTTCCGTGCCTGAAGAGAGGACACGGGCCTCTATGTCTTTGCATCGCGGAATTGAAGCGGCTTCCACTCTGTGGAAATTCCGCCAGTGCCCGCTGATCCCGCAAATTCACAGTGACTGGGGATGACGGTGTAGCTGGGGGAGTCCATCATGACGGCCGGGCACAAAGAGCCGCGCGCGCCGTTTGCGTCGCGATCTCTGTTGACGGCTCGTTCCTCGAGCTCTAGCATCTTCTCGCCGTTTCGTCGTGTAATCTTTGCCCTAAAAATTCTTGCGCGATTTTCTTTTCTATTCTCGCGCGTGAATGCGCGCTTATCAGGACTAACCTTCGATGCTAGCGAGTTCCTAACGCTACGCGATCGATGAACGTGCGGATTCAATGGACTGAAGTGCGCGATTTACGATGAGGATGTTCATGCGCATGACCATCCACTACCAAGGAGTAAACGCGAGAAGCTGCAATCGCTGTCACCTCCGGCGGGACGATCGCTCGCCGCGGAGATACGAGGCGCCACAGACTCCGGTGGGATCAGAGATGCCGGTCGCCGTCTTATACGGCGCAGAATACACGGCCAGGCCGCGCGCCGCCATCAGCTCGCACACCGTGACGACGGCCATTGGTCTTACAACTCTCGTGGTGTCCCTCCCGCAAGAGGCACAGGAGTATTGAATTGACCTTAGGACGAGCTCAGCGATTGAGCCGTATCCATAGATTGCATATGCACGGCGGTGTGCGGTTTGGCGAGTGGTGTTCTCACGCCGCACGTGGCTCATCAAGCAGACATACCCGTACGATTAGACCGCTGCTGTCCCGAGCAAATAGTGCGCTGCATGCGCCATGCTTATTGCGACATGCTTCAAAAAGGAACAGGTATTTATCGACAAAGCGCGACCGCGAGAGCCGAAACGCATCTCGGTGTGCGGTTCGACTCCGATGGATCGCTGCAGGCGGCTGTGAGAGCCTTCGTGGTCGCCGCTCTTCCGTGCGCGGCCGTCCGGCCTCGTGGCACCGGAGCGCGCGGCGTCAATTCCGCTGCGGAGCGCGACGTCGACGCAGCGTCGGACCCGCCCATCGGCACCCGCCGCCGCAACTGCGGTAACGGCGCTCGCTTTAGAGCTTTCTGCAACGGACAAGAAGTCCGCGCGGGGGGCGGCCGGCGTGCATGACGCGGAGGTTTTGGCGTTACGAGCGCCGTCGCGACCGCCAATATCGTAGGAGGCGACTCAGTCCCTGTTCTCGAATTCACATTATATCTACCGGCCCTCTGTCTACCGCCAAGACATTCAAGCGCCCTCTCGGTCCGCCTCCGCAGTTTTCCGCCGCTTCGTTGGCCGCTTTTTATCTCAAAAAACAGATGCTTAAGCGCCACTCATCTAGTTTCTTGAACATAAGCACATTCAGGACAACGCTCAACGATCTTATGGGGGCGCGGTATACCGGACGTTCGACCGCCTGCGAATGGTCGGATCATCCGCACGCGAATTGCACGTATGAGGACGCATCTGAGGACCACCCTTGTGCTTTCGCGTGCGCGTGCTGGAAAGACCAAGCGCTCCAAGCACGCGAGTCCCGCGCGCGGATGGCCATATATTACCTCGGCCTCGGGATATTGAAATACGACTCGGACCTCTACTCAAAACCATGTGATGGGTCATATGCATAGCCTAGATAGTACCCGAAGACTTTTTGGGCGGGACTACCAGTTCAAGCTCACAAAAGTACTACGGGAGTATTGATGAATGCTGCGGCCATTGCCGAAGTTCGCCCTTGAGGGAGCGTGAGAGCGCTTAATCGGCGTGCTTTCTGGCGCTTGAAAGCGCAAGTGCGATCCTCAAATGCCCCGCAATCGCACGTAGCGACGTGCGGCCGTTGCCCCGCATGTCTCGTTCCCTCCGGAAGCATGGCTCGTCCGCGAGGCGATGCGCCAATCGGACCGGCGGGCGCGTAGACAGTCTTCACTGCGAGGGAATAAGACGCTTCCTCCTGGCAGTTCCACCGCGTATATTCACCGCGATCAGCTTCGGCACTCGTCGCGGCTTCGAGGCGCTCGCCGAACAGATCGCCGCCTTGATGAATCCTAGGACCCGTTTCTTTGCTCATGTATAATCTCGTCAATGCCAGTGCTGGAGAAGTCATTTGTCAACGGCATCTCAGAGCTCAACACGGCGGGATTTATCCCGCCCGCTGGTGCGGCGGGCGTTGCGGACTGATCCTACGCTCGGCCGTTCGAGAATCCTTGGGCAAGAAACCGGAGAACGCGAGCCCTGTCATTGCGGTATCCGGTAATTCAGCTGAGTTTGACCTCTTGGCTGCACTCAGAGCGTATGATAATAGCGCACAATTTTATCTTCAACTGAGGCGCCCTGCAGACAGCAGGGTCTCTTGTCCGCTGTGCTTTCGGCAGGATGCCGGTAGCGGGCGGAGGCGCCGCCGCGGCGCTACCGGAAAGCCGCGCGTTGAAAATGCGTGACTAAGGCAGATGACTAAGCCAGTTGGCGGATCCACCTGGTTTCCTCTAGGATGCCCGCTTTACGTATGATTGGTATCCGGGAAGCATCCCGATGAAGACTGCCAGAGTGTGTGCGTCCTTGCGGTAGCGCCATTGCTTGACTATGCCGAGTGCGGTCTTCACCATGAACTCGAGGGAGAAGCCGGAGGTAAGCTCAGCACTGAGAGCAAGGTTGCGACAGAGGGGATGGAGAAAGAAGCAGAGGACGTGCAGTGGAGTAAGCATAGCAACACTACGCCGCTGAAACACAGAGCGTGCGTGTGCGAGAAGCCCGGCATCGACGTCAGAAGCCGAAATCTGGGTGAATGCCCGAGCGCAGCGAAGAAGCTCAAGGACGCAATCTGCTAGATTGCAGGTACGCGCTTCGAGATTGCCGATCATGTCGACAATAGGACGTGTAACAATGATGAGGTCGTCCAAGTTCTTCCAGTAGTCCTCGTCACGAATGACGATCTGTACGACATCTTTGTTGACGGCCGACAGGCCCTTCGTGGCCTTTATGGCATCAGGACGCAGACAGGTCGTTGATAGTGGGATTCTGGGTATGACATGAATTGTATGACAACACTAGATGAGCATATTGACGTACCGAAGGGCCTTGACACTCTCAGCCTGCAGAACAAGTGCATACCAACGAGTATCGCAATTAGCCTTGAGACGACGCTGGCCCGTAGCAACTTCCATCAGCTGCCCACCCCAGTAATGGGAAGCATTGAAGAAAGAGACAATCTTGGTGTTCTTCTGTGCAGTAATTTTCGCCGTCGAGAAGCTCGCGATGTCGCCCACGATGCTATTGGACGAATGAAGCCAGCAACAAAACGTCTGCGAAGATCACTGTCAGAAGCTTGTAGCACATTGCGGAGCAGAATCCCCACCATCAGCCAAGGGAACTTCGCCTTCGCAAGCCGATGGAAAGCTTTCATCGTGGTCGGACCGTCCGTCGTAAGTGCGATGAAGTTCTCGGCCTTCTCTTGATCCATTGCTGCTAAAGCACGTTCCATGGATGCGAGAATGTTGGGAGCAGTCGCGCGGCCACCCGTCATGTCGTCCAAAGCCAGGACAACAGGATAATCGCCCATACGAGCAGCAAGATGCCCATAAAGACTGCGGCGAAGTGCATCATCCCAGCCATCAGTCTGATAAGTCAGGAGCTCGCAACTGCTCAGATAACTCATATCGGCAAGCTTGACTGCGGCATACTCGGTGTCCAGTATGCTGTGCGAGAGGACATATCGTGACGGAACCTCGTAGGATGGCCGAATGTACGCGACAAACTCGAGGAAGTACTCATTCTCGACCGACAAGAAGGCGATGTTGCCTGAAACGATGTATCTAGAAGATCATGAGTGCGTGCTTGTCGAGAAGAAGCATGAGAGCCCACACCTGAACAGGCGAAGGTTTGCCTCATGCACTTGTGCATCGGTCATAGGATAGTCGACCCAGCCTTCGAGAGTCTCTCCCTTGCGCTTCTTTGCGATGACTACACCTCCAGGCGTTGTAAGGCCTTCAGCAGCCTCTGCTGCAGGGGTAACATCCTGAGAAGCCCCTCCCTCCAGCTGGGAAGTCGCGATCCCACCGGCAGGAACCTCGGCACCGACTGATCCAGATGAAACGCCGAACACCGTCTTCCCCTTCTGGTTGGTGCTCTGTGCGAGGAAAGTACGGGCCCTATTGCGCTCGACAGGGTTCGCGTGCGAGCAGTTGGAGAGATGTTTGACTAGAGCGTTCTCGCTAGTGTAGCGGGCAAAACTGAATCGAGATTTGGCAACCATTTTGCCACGGCAAAATGGCGATTGGCAACTGGCAAATACTGGCAAAATTAAAATGCGGTTAAATTCGTAAAAATATTGTTATCGCTCGGCGCGAGCTTTCAGACACCGTAGAAGGGCTATCTACTATAGAGTCATGATAGTATCAATGTCCCAGTCACCCTCGTCATCAGAGGAAGCGAGTTGAGCAGCTGTATTGAAATGATTCACCACCTCGCCGCGATCAACCTCGTCTAGCAGGGCGAGTTGAAACATCTTGCCCGACAAGATATCCATTTCGCCCACTTCGACGTCCTTCAACTCCTCCTTGCCACGCTCGGCAAGCTCCCGGAAATCCTTATCGAGCCCCGACAAAGCAGCAGCCTCGTCTTCGGGGCCCACACCGTCATCCACCGAGATTGCAAAGGGGACTTCGACGGTCCACTCGTCGAGCTTCTTGATGAGCTCAGCATCAGCACCGGGTGTCTCGCGCGTGTGAGCATGTGCGTGTTTACGGTGGACCGACTTCCCAGCCGTGCGATCACGATCCCATTGCTTGCGCGAGTAGTGCGCGCGGCACTTGCCAAGGGCCTCGAATGTTTCGACAGAGAGGTTGCAGCGTTTAGCACTCTGCACCCCACCCAACATCGAGAAGAGACGCTCGACCTCGGCGGAGTGCGGGACCACCGAGAACAGTAAGATGGCCAGGGTCTTGATGGGGTGCAGGTTCGCATCAATAGGAAGTTCGCGCCAATACGCGAGCGCGTCGGCCTTCCCACTCGTGTATGGACCACGCGCCATGCGATAGTCATGCAGATCGGCGACCATCTGCTTCGCAACACCCTCGTCCTTGATCCCATGTGGCAGCTCAAACCCGGCGCACTCACGGAAACCAACCGCACGCATTGCGGGCGCTTCCCTGGAATCCCGCTAGTTCCTTGGGCGACGATGACGCATGCCGATTTGTCATATCTTATATCAGTCTTCGGAGCGAGGAAGCTGATCCGTTCCGCCGTTTCCTCCGAGGCATTTGTGGCTTACTCAGCGAATAATGGCCGGCATGCGCTCACGCGGCTGACACCTCGGCACTCTGATATTTGCCTCGAATATTCTCCGTGACCGGCAGTGCACGTCCGTCTGGCAATAGCGCTGCGGACCAATTGCCTTTCGATCTGGCATCTGCCAATCATACCGCTGGCGACATGATACTGCTTATATAACGCGCGAGCAACTACATCATGTGACGCAAACTTGCTAGTCAAGTTCAATTTGCATTATATCCAGAAGATGGAAGGTAGGTAATACGGAGGCTGAAGAAGGGGAAGACGTCTCCATGTCTCCGACGGTTCCCAAGGGTTCGGACATCTCCACATGATAATGAGCTCGCCTGAACAAGGCCCTTTCCACATTCTTCTCCACTTCGCAGCTTACCTGTAGAAAAGTATTAATGCGCGATATAAGAAGAAAAGACGACGGACCGTTCGGATTGTCTGCAAGAGGCGGAGTCTCAGAAACTCAGACGCCTCTCCGGCTGCGCCTGCAAAGGCACGCCTGGGCCATCTCCGGTCACTTATAGCCCGCGCGCTTCCGCTGTTACTCGGAAAGGCGGAGTGGAGTGGCGACGCCAGGATTGCGGGTGGTAAGAGAGCCCGACGAGGTCACAAGCGCAGCCGATTTCAGTGTCGCAGAGGCGCACGGTCTTGAAAATCCTCTGGTCAGTACGTTCCCAAGTACAGCCGGAAGCTCGACATCAATGCTTGTCATCGGTTTTTGAAGACGAGAATGCGCAGGCTCCATTCATGACGCTTCACGCGAAGGAATGCCGTCCGCCTTGCCGGCCTGAATAGTTCAGCGCTGGGGTGAGACCCTTACAAACCGGCACAAACGGCATTGCTCTCTCATATAGATCTTGAGTCGGGTCGGTGCTCGAAGCGTCATGCGCGCATATCTCTAGTACCACTCGTAGAATATATAGATCAATTGAAATGAGGTGGGGTTGTAATAGAAGACATACAATAAGAATACCCTGGAGCTCATGATCTTCGTACTAGGTAGTTGCGAGCGCGTGAGTCGGGTATGGTTAACAGTCTAAGCGAGTGGATAAGATGAGGTGCGAGTGAAGCTTCCTGGTGGGCTGCAGCAAGGCTCAGTGTTCCGAGTCAACCAAGCGTGACTGAGGCGTGTCACCGTTCTGGTCACGGTGACGAGGGCGAAACTGCCCCATACGTCCGTCTGTGTCCATCGCATGAGATCTCTCGTCGGCACCATGAGCATCACTTCAGCGATCTCTGATCTGCAACAACTCACACTCGGTATGCATCATACAGTACTTCAAATTCTATTCCCGAATGAACCCTTTATCTAGACTCCGTGCCTAAGACCGCTAGCGCGCGCGGCCAGGTCGGCGAGACCGTTAACCCCCGTAGCTGGAGGGCTCCCCTTGGTGTGTCGGCAATACTACGCGACCCCTTGCCTACGCCGGCCAGCATACGGGCTGCGCACGTTGATCCCGAGACTGGCATGATCACCAGTTTCGCCAAACTCGAAGAGGTGGTAAAAACCGTTGAATGGCACGGCTTGCCTCCGGGAGGGTTTCCGTTTGCGAGGCGCTGCCGAGACTGCGAGACGCGGAATCTTGCATGCCATTTCATGAATCGGCATGCCTGTACCAATTGTGTCACTCGCCATGTTGCTTGTGTCGGCGGTGTACTGGTCGACGCCTGCGGTCAGAGCGCGGAACAACGCTCTCCCGATAGCCCGTACGAGCGCCAATTCTGGAGACGACGCGCTCTACTGGAAGAGCTACGAGATGTGATGGGCGGTTGGGATAAGCGGCTGACAGAGACGGGAGGTGCGTGCGCTCTGCCCTCCGCTGAAATAGCGCTCAATAATACACCTAGAGTGCCGTTTCGACGCATAGAACAAACCGGACGCACGGCGATTTCTGTCTCCGACTTCCCGATGAGGAGCCGCCGAAGTTGTTTATTGCCTGCCGGGATTCAAGTGCCATGTTAGTAGACTCGATCTTGAATATCACTAGCCAGTCATGTTTTTTCGGAATACGTCCGGCCGCATTGGAGCCGGTGCCAATATATATCTCACAATCAACGGAGTTAACTCGAGCCCCCGCAGGTGAGTGTCATCACAAGCACTCCAATTCAGGTGGGACTGCTCCTCGAGCACCGCGTGCTCGCTAGCAACTCCGTGATTCTGCGATCGGCAGGCTTGACGGAAAACTGCGACTATTATTGCGATTATCACTCCCTTTTGCCGGCCATCACAAGTAGCATGATATGGTGTTCCCAGGTTGTCAAACTGGTTGTCTCACACGAAGCCTCGAGCATGGTGCATCGGCCTCGTAGAGTATGTATATGCGTGGCAATATTACGGCATAATATATTCTGATTCCTTGGGCTTGCACGGCTGAAAAGCTATTCTAATTGATACGGACTTTCGTGGGGAATTTTTCCCCGCGCGCGCGACGGAGCGTCAACTTGTATCCCCCCGACAGGCAGGGTTGCCTATCGTGCACTATATGCCGTGGAAGCTTTTGAAAACGCGGCCCAGCGACGAGGCGCGCGGTGCGGCAACGCGGCGGCGAGCGCGGCGATAGCGGAGATATTTTCGAAAGAGGGCGGTACGGAGACGCGGCCCCGCGCGTGACACCGGCGTTCGAACTTCCGTCCACCGAGACCGGGTCGTGCCGCTCACCACCACGAACGACCGTCAATGCCGAAAGCACTCAAGGGAAGCTCCGCGCGTACTACGAAGGGGCCGTATGAGTATATTCCCCCATTGTTGCTCATCAAAGGCGACCGCAAGATTGTGGTCCCGCGCCTGAAACACTACAAGGCACGTCTCTTTATGTGCCGCTTTCCCTTAAGCCGCACGCTAACCTAACAATCATTAGTCAATGCTCGCATTAGCCAAGAAGAAGATCGCGGATCTTAGAGACTGTGATATGGACTTTCTTTATTGCAAGTCGACGTCGGTACCTGGTCTTGAGGGCGAGGAAGTGGAGATCAGTGAGGAGACATGGGCTGACATAGTCCCGCGCCTTAAGACTTTTGAGGTTGTAGCAAACATTCGTGCGTCGTCTTTACTCCGACTGGATAACTCTTGACTAAGACTAGAGAATAGTCGTTATCAGCAATGAACCTTTGACCCGGGGCGGATTTCGCACCTGCCCTGTCCGAGGTCATTCTGCCTAGCGCGTCACCATGGGGACGCGAACTACTGGTTTCGTGTGCGCGGCCGCCGCCGGGCGTGTCTGCCATCTGACCGCCCCTCTTGAAGAACAATCGTTCACCACGGTGGCACTATCATACACTTAGAAGGAGGATCAAGGTCGCTGCGAGATACAGTTCGACCGCGGCGAGTCGGCGAAGAGGAAGGACACGGTATCTTGAGTAGTTTCTGGTACATGGTGTCATAAATTTGTCCTAGTGTCAGATAGTACAACGCCGATGCGGAAATTCCTCAACCCATTTCCTTCTAGCACCGGGGGGTCGCACGATACGCCTTCTTTGATACTCTTTCTGCCAGCGATCTGGTGGCTTCGTCTCCCCTCGCTACACGCGCATAGTATCGCATGTAGAAGTAAGTGTTCGGACAAGATATGATACCTGTGTGACGTGTAGGTACAAGGATAGGGCTGGAGAAGCACCATTTCTACAGTCCATATGTAGAATTCATTGACATAAAAACGTGTCCCGGCACAAATCGAACCCTTATCCTGACTAGCTTAAGCAGCGCCGCAGCCAACCACTTGGCCATCCGCCCTTCGGAACGCGTCGCACTCAAACAACATGACCGTTGCCATTGCCTCCTTTAGTCCCCCCGTTACGCGCGTACGATATCGCCCATAAAATCAGATGCTCGTCATTTGGCCCTGAGCATCCTTCTAGCACACGCAGAAAACTTAGCGGGATCGCGCATACTGACAAATTGTCGAAGTCATTATCAGTCGCCGATCTTGAAGGCGGTTCCGTAGAGTTCGCGAAGTTTGATCGCCGAAATACCGACAGCCGCCCCGCCCGCCCGTTTGCCCCCCGCCTCCATGGCGCGCACCAAATACCAACTGCCCCCAGAGCTCTGGTCTCATATCTTTGGCATCTTGCTGGACGAACAAACCGATGTGCGAGTCCAATCATACAGCAATATTCGTCCTCTCGCCGACTGGACTCCGTTACCCGAAGAAGTGGCTTGCCCAGGATGTATTCCCCGCTGCAACGCCTATACCAATTGCGGCGCACGAAGCGGACAGGCTCAAACCTGCACGGGAAATCTTGCCCGTGAGCGGCGAGGACTGCAGGCCCTCCTACATGTCAATACGGCATTCCGCACTCTCATTCGGGGCGCGCGTTACTTCGCCCAGAACGCCATGACTGATCTCGCTTGTCGCCTCGACGAATCGCGGTATCCCGTACAATCTGCGGACATGATATATCCCTATACGGGTCTCTGTCTCTGCACGCTTCCGGAGATTTTGAGGCGTCTGGTCCCGGGCTCGCAAGGCCCGCTGCGAGTGCGCATTGCCCTTCCGTCTCGCAACCACCATGGTCCCCTATCGCCCGCACACTCTATCTGGCAGGTCCTTCATCAATACGGCGCAGACCATCTGGTGGAAGCATCCTTTTTTTGCGACTCATCCATCCAACCATCCGATGAGGATGAAGAGACTCCTGCAGAGGGAGGGGAGCTTATCATTGAGTCCACGTCGATCCGGCGTTTCACAGGCTGGAATATTAGAAAGCGGGTTATCGTCGGGAAACTCCTAACCTCTTTGAGGCTAGGTGCGGAGGTCGAATTCTACACCTGGGATCGGGCCGCCCTCTGCCGGATCTTGCGGTTGTGCCCTCGACTTGAGACCGTACAGCTCCTGTCCATCTTCGATCACGATCTTAGATATTGGCTCATTCAGGAAGAGCCACAGATTCTGCTGGAACACCTCACTTGCTTTCATATCCAAGCCGAGGCATACGTCTGGATAGGCCTCAGCGCTCTCCTCGTCACGCCTGTCTTGCGCCGCGCTCACGTCGACGTCGTCGATTCTTTGTCCCTACACCTAGAGGCCGGTGGGCCGGCATGGTCGTTCCATCTCGCACGCATCTTCCGCCGCACGCGGCTATCTGAACGGCTCGCAGACATCATCTCTGGAGATGATTTTCGAGTGGATCTGCATTACGAGTGCGACGTGGACGAAGGATCCCGCGGAAGCCCTATGCCGCAGAGTTTACCGGAGTACATGTCAATAGTAGCGGCAGATGACGCTCGCCATCACTCAATCTCAATCACGATACGCTCCCCGATGACTTGCCCTTTGGCATACGCCCCGCCCGGCACTCGTGCCGAATCCGCTCTTTCACAAACGCCGGCCGTCGTCTTCGAAGAATTTTGGACAGAAGCTCTGCGGAGGCTAGATGACTTGCGCGATGGCCAAAGCACCTTATCCCGATGCGTACATGAGCTAAATATTACGGGGTATGCTGGGCTATTACTCGAGTTTCGATGGATCGCACTTCTGCACGAGACCTACAATCTCCAACGACTCCGTGTACATGGCATTGCCGGTCAAGGGCCAGCTTTGGATCGACTGCTTACCGGTTTGTGTACGACCGTATCCGAGACATACACAGACGACGGAGACACGGTTACACTCGATACGCCCTGCGGCGAGGACGTGACAGAGGTCTATCTGCCGGACTATCCGAACATTCCTCGCGACTTGATTCAAAGGGAAGTTTCTCTTAGACAATCCTCTCAATGTAGAAGTTCCATCTCATGGTTTGGGTTGATGTAACATTTGAATGCCCATGTAAATAACTGGAGTACCTCGGCTTTGGAAATCTCAACGGCGCTTAGTCATCTGACTATAAGTACTCTGACGCCAGACTCGCGACAATCTCGCATGGCCTTATATACTCCGCCCAATCATACCCTCACGGGCATAAGGTCCCACCTGGCTAACTCACCGGTATCTTCTCTCAGGACGTTGGCCAGAATATGTGATTGTTAAGCTAGATGTGGTCACAGGAAGGGACGAAGACTAAGTAACATACGCGCCAGATAAGTACGGTATCATGTTAGCTTGCGGAGAAGCCGCCGCCACCGAGCTGATTTCCCATATAGCCGGCTCGACCGGTCCGGCCTGCGCGTGCCCGAGACCGATCTCGAGAGCGCGCGCCCCGCGGTGACGACTGACACCTGTCCCCGCTCGTCGCAGCGAGCGGTGCACCCGAGAGTCCGAGTGTTCCGCGCTTACTCCGGATGCAGAGCGCGGGGGCCGGGTCCGACAAGCGGCCGGGTCCCAGGCGTTGCGGACCGTTTCGCACGTGTTCGACCGGCCGCCGCGAATGTCCGAGACGCGAGTTCAATCGTCTAATGCGCCCATACGCCGGCAGCACAGGGTGTTGCTCGTTAAAGTAACAAGTTAGCACGCTATTTGTCGTTGGCCACAAACAAGCCGCCGGGTGCCGGGGCCGCGGGTGCTTGGCGTGCGGTGGTGTTGGCGGAAGTGGCGGCCTGGGTGCGGGTGCTTATTATCCATGCGCGACGGCCTGCGCTTGACTCGGCGTCGCCGCGGAAGCCGCGCCAACACGGGCCGGTTGCTTGCCCGCGTTAGTCTGCGGGGCACTAGTTGCAGTTGTGCCCGGGAGCTGGTCTTCCCTGGCGGATTGCTTGGGGCCTCTGTACCCGCAGCTTGTCCGGCCGGGCCTACGCTGTTGGCGGCGGCCTACGTGTCGCGACGTCGCCGAGTGAGAATATGCTAGTTTGGTTCCGTGACCGGTGCGTCGAGGGCTTTGCCTTTGCCCTTGCGGGAAAAAGCTTCGCTCAGTAAGGCGTCTCAAAGCGCCGACGTTCCGCCCTCAGCCGCGATTGGCGATGCATCAACACCCGCGGGTGCTCACTCCATGCTCATTGTTTACTGAGTCGGCTAAGTGATAGGACACAAGTCTGCGTACAAAACACCGGCGCAAAGGGCGCACATGAGGGCCGCTAGAGGCGAGATAGAGGCGAAAGAACGAAAACTGGGCGCCGCCCTCGGGAGTCTGCGCCTCGGACTCGCGTTCAAGCTCTACGGGAACTGCCGGCGCTTCCCCTCGGTTGGACCCTTGCTCCGGTCTTGCGAGCTCGCCCGACCAGGCAAGCATCCCCGTGGGATACGCACGATCAACCGAAAGCGGGGCATCGCGCTAAGTAATTGCTGACACAGCACACAGTGTAGCAAGCGAGGGTCGGGAAATCCGATTAAATAATGGTCAATTAAGGTCGGGAATCCCGTTTAATTGACGTCGGCCGAAGGGCCCAGCCAAACCATTATAATAAAATGGCTTCGCGGGCCCCTGCTAGGGCGGAGGTAGTCTTAAAGTAGTACTGGCAGGCCACGGAGGTCCGGGGACACACGGAGGTCCAAACCTCCGTCTGGACCGTCGGGGTCGACCACCTCCGGGTTACCTCCGACATCAAGCAGGGTCCGCCCGGTGGCCGACATTGAGCTCGGACCCCCGCCCGTCGTCGTATACCGCCTGCTCATCGTTGCCCGCCGGGTTCGCGGAGCGGGATCAATCCCTTGGAGTGGCTGGGCGGCACGAGCACTAGTACCCTGTATAGCAAGGTCCGCCAAGCCCGCCATGCCAGACGCGGTCGTAAATTGATTCGCGCCCAAATCCCGCCCTGCCGGCGCACTACCTCAGATCTTCGGGCGGGGGCCTGTCCTGATGGACAGAT